CCCCGTGCAGCCACAAGCCCTCCTGCTGCGTGCACAAGAGGAAGCTTCAAACACATTCATCAGCTGCCTCCTCGGGTGCCTGCCCTTGCGGCACGCCCTGGGACGCATCAGCACATAAGAGACTGTCCCTGAGGAAGTCATGGGAGCTTCCCCAGACCTCTCCCGTGCCAACGTGCATCCTCGGGGCTGGACTGCAGCTGCCTGTGGGTAGGGCTCTGCTCTGGGGCTCTGCCACCACCAGCATCCCCAAACCGTGGAGTTTCTTCCCTATGATTTTCCCCTAGCACACCAGGGAGATAATCCAGCTCCCAGGGTGGCAGCTGCAGTCATTTAAGCATTGCTGTTCTCCCACAACCAGCTGGACATCGCCTGCCTCTGCCAGTACCAGCCCTGGGCACCGTGGCCCAGGAGATAATGCAGCTGAGGACCAGGCAGTGGAATCTCAGCCTCCATCCCTGCCTGCACTGACTCGAGTGTCTCTTTAAAGGTATCCCCACCTGAGCCCCAAGTACAAGGAGTCCTTCGATGTGGGGAGCGACATCTTTGCCAAGTTCTCAGCATACATCAAGAACCCTCGCAAGGAAGCAAATATCAGTAAGAACTGCGAGTGGGGGGCACGGGGCTGTGGTCTGCCGGGTAGATGCCTTGGCCTGCGGGTGAGTCCTGCCAGCAGCTCAGGGTTCCTGCTGCCTTCCCCACCAAAGCCTGGGAGAGGCTCAGCCACCCTGGCACAGCCCTGGGCTGTGCTGGGGCCCAGGGCACCCGGCTCAGGGCACCCGTCTCCCTGCCCACCCAGACTTCGAGAAGGCCCTGCTGCGGGAGTTTCAGCGGCTGGATGTCTACCTGAACACTCCTCTCCCTGAGGAGATTGACCAGGACAGCGTGGAGGACATCGCTGTCTCCAAGAGGAAGTTCCTGGATGGAGACCACCTGACGCTGGCTGATTGCAACCTCCTGCCCAAACTGCACATCATCAAGGTAACGGTACCAGCTCCCAGGGCCAAGGGGGGGCACCCACTCCAAGAGGGGGTGACGGGGTGGGGTGATGCAAACGGGAGGCTGGGGGTCCTGTACTTGTTCCCTGCCCTAAGCCGGAGAGCGAATCTTCCCTGGGTCTGGGAAGTCTCAGCCACCTTCTCCTCTCCTCTCTAGATTGCAGCCAAAAAATACCGGGACTTTGAGATCCCGGCGGACATGACGGGCGTCTGGCGGTACCTGAACAACGCCTACGCCTGCGAGGAGTTCAGCCACACGTGTCCTGCCGACGAGGAGATCGAGCACACCTACGCCAGCGTGGCCAGGAAGATGACCTAGCCCCGGCCTGCCGGCGGCGCTGCCCCTGGCCGAGCCCTCCACCTCCGCAGTCTGACACAGCCAAACCCCGGCCAAGGGAGGCACTTCAGGGGGGCTACAGCACCGCCGCCCCTCGCCTTTCAGAAATAGTGCCTTGCTTCACAGCCCCCTGCCGCTCCCCCTGCTCCTCCGCCGGCTGGGCGCGCTTCGCCGGTGCTGACTGTGTGCAGGCCAGTCCCTCCGTGGCCACTGCATCTCTGCTGATGCTCCCAGCCTGTGGCCGCACGCCGTGGGAAAAGCTGAGCAGGAGCCTTCCACGGCAGCACCCTGCTGGAAGATTTGAGACGCCCAGGCGGCTGGTCCGGCCCTGCCTCTCCATCGGGGGCTGGAGATGCTCTGCTCTGCTCTGCTCTGCTCTGCCAGCCCCCCATGGTCCCAGGCACCCCGTGTGCTTGGGAAGAGGTGTCCCAGGATCCCAGTGCATTACCTGGGCCGGAGCTGTTTGAATTCACCCGCTTGCCCTTCTGCACATCCCCCAGCAGCCTGCGTTCGGCCCAGCGGGCTCTTCCACCCCGGCACCTGGGCTCCCTCTGAGGACAGCAAAATGCTCTGCCCCTGGCAGTTTGTTGCAGTGACAAATTGTTCTCAGGGCTAGAGAGCTGTAATCTGTGACTGACTCCCCATTAGCACGTGGGGGCAGGAGAATGCTGGGGGTGGTGCTTGGCGTGGAAGTGCTAGGACCTGCTGTGGGAGGGAAGGAGGGGTGAGGGACTTGCAAAGGGCTGAGAATGGATGGCTGAGGATCAGGACATCCCTCCCGTGTGTGCCAACACCCAGGGCCATATGCCACTGCCTGCAAGGTCCCGCCTGGCTCCTGTGAGCTAAGAAACCTCCCT